TTTACTCAGTTTTCTTATAGCCAATTCAACCCATCAGCTAGATCTCCCACTGTAACACGATACTACCAGGCTAGGATGGTGAAGGTTAATATGTCTTTCCTCCCTTTGAACTGCTGATTCTAATGTAATGTCACTGAACAGCTCAACACGCTTGCAGGAGAACGCTAACTGCCAATTCTGTACAATAATCCTACAAAAGCCTACCTTGGCTAGCATTATGCTGAGTGATGGGGGGTGAAGGAGGGCAATCCTACCCACCCAGATAGAATGAGGTCGGTTATGGCTCCCAGTGGCATCACTGGACAGCGCCAAAGCTTAGACAGTTGCACCACTTAGAGCAGGGGTCGTCTACCAAAATATTTGGAAGATCCACTTTGTCCTTTCAATAAAAATCAAACCACTTTGGGAGCCACAGCATTTTATGGCCGTTTTACCATCTTGGCTGTAAATATGTGCTATTGTCCTAGTACAGGATAAAAAATCTATAAGGAAACTTTTCTCGCATCTCCAGCAGGAAACCTTTTCTCAAAAGTAAAATAGTTTCTTGTAAAATGTCTCTCAACGTTTGACTTTTTGCGAGACTAAAGTCAGCTTCTCATTCACCAGCTTCTTGTTTGAATTTTTCTGTTCCACCTTAAATGGTGCCTACGGCATCAGAATGCAACTGCTGCACCATTTAAGGTGGAATGGGAGAATTTCAATAAGAAATGAGAAGCTGATTACAGCTTCCCGACTTCTTAGTTTTTGACAGTTTATTGTTGCAGATTAAATGTAAGAGGAAACCAGGCTGGGTCCTTATAAATGCAAATAAGTCCATTTGTCTCCAAATTATCGATGTTCATCTTACATCTATCTCTTTGCCTTTTCGTTAGCTACTAGCTAGGCAAGATTGCTGTCTGCACTGCTATGTCTGTGCACCAATCTTCAGGGTTAAAGGTTAGTGAATTAGCAGATATTGGCTACAATAACTCCAGCATTTAGGACCATTTAGTGTTAAAACTGAGTTAGAACAATCAGCAGAGCTTTATTTTACTGCAAAGGAGGATTATTTTATTTTTACCTACAAATCTAATTCTGCTGTGGAGCCACAACAGAGCATTAAAATAAGCGCATGTGGTTCCGGGGCCACATGTTGCCGACCCCTGGCCTAGGGTAACTGACAGTTATGATAAGTAGCAGGCAGCAAAGGAGTGTAAAGCGTTTTTGTTTTTAACTGTGCTGTCAACATTTCTCTGTCTGCTGCTTAGTAACAAGAGACTGACAGTGCATTTAGGTATACATTCAGCTGATGTAGTGATCTGTGGTGTTTGCTATAAAACACAAGTGCATTTTGGGGGACTGTAGTGCCCTCAAAATCACTCCAGAATTTTATTTTATGATTTGCACGTTAAGGGGGAAATGGCTGATGTACATAATAGTGCATTACAGGAAATAAAGCAGTCATATTTACCACATATCGCCAACTGATCTACTCATGCTCCACCCACAAATGGGTACCCTTACCAACTGTCGTGACAAGCTTAACAGAACATTAGCAAAACTTCCATTCAACATAATGAGAAACTTTAGTGTATACACACAGTTTTGGCCAAAACATCTCCATTTAAATTGCATGGTTGATTTCAAGTGCTACTTATTTTTGTATGCCTGTGAAAGGTGCAGGTAGAGGCAAGTCAGACCCTGCTAAAAAAACTTTATTGGAACTAATCATGTTTTGGAAGCAATCGTACAGGAATTCTACTGAACAGGTATTCTACAGGGACTGCTATGCAATATACAGAGAATTGCTTTCAGTATTTCCAGTGGCATCACTAGGATCTCATGGACTTCAATTAGTTTAAAAAAAAAAAGGTCAATGTAATTTGCGTGTTTATTCATTATTATGTCTCAAACACAAATACAGTAAAAAGAATGTGCTGTTTGGCAGTGAAGTTATTTATTACGTAGATTAGATGAGTACAGTTAGAAGAACACAGGTTTGATTCCCGCAGCACCTGATTTAATTTAATAAAGGACTGATTAGATAAACTGGGAATTGAATGGTAACTGCAAATACAGGACTTCCTCCAGGAGAGATTTGGAATAAGGTTCAGCTAACACACAGCAAAACAAGACATTCATGGGAGGAGCATGTATAGATCAATTTCCACACCTAACTCAACTTCATAACTTTCCACATTTCACCTAAAAAAGTGATAAAGTAAGCCGTTCAGGCTCATGCACTGTCAGTCTTTGTTGCACGACTGTAAGAATTCAGTTCTGATCTGAAGACCCCCTAAATCCATGCATAATCTCTCTATACTGAAAGTGTTTTCAGCTTGTATTTTCAATCTCAAGATCATCTGCTTTTGCCCTGAAACCACATGCTACACCCCTGATCCACCGACTGGAGTAAAAAAAAAACTAAAAATACATCAAACGCTAATCACGGCAGCCAATATATCATCAAAGCGGAGGCTGTGGATATCAATACTTCTGCGGAATATCAAATGAGACAGATAAATTGAGTTAGCTCATTTGCATAAATATGGAATTAGCATATGGAACGACCTGCACAGGCGATGATCATCCTAAAACAAATGGTAATCCATAAATGCCTCACAAGCAGGAAAATTTGCATCATCTATTCAGCGTTTAAAGGCACTGAAGACTCAAGCTGGCCCCGGGGTCATATGCATCAAACTTTACGAGAATGAGTGCTGATCCAGGCTCAGACTTGATTTCCATATCCTCTACAATATGATTATGGGGCTGAAAATGCTGACCCTAATTTAGCATTATTACTTTTCCAAATAGAGACTGTCCAGTTAGTTTATACATAATCCGCACAAACAAAGCGAACAACGACATTTGTGCTGTTTTGGCTCTGAACGGGATCTGAAATGCTCTGATGGCTTTGGGGTTAAAGGGCAGAATGTCCATAATTTACATGTAGGATAAACCACAGAGATCATAGGGGTTTTATGTTTTTAGAAATAGTCAGCTGACTTTATTTGCTTTAACCTCATAGTCAATGTTGTATTTAAAATCCAATGTACTGTAGCACAGAGCCCAAACAACTAAAATGATGTCACTGTCCATTCTTTAGCACCAAATGTTGCTAGTTTGGACTGCTAGTTTTACAGAATGCAGGCAAAAATCCCATTCAACCTACCTACCTACTTACGTACTTACTTACTTACTTATTTATTTATTTATTCATTTATTTATTTATTTATTTATTTACTTATTTATTTATTTATTTATTTAAATTTGAGCTTATATTACCATGGCAATAAATTTGTCATTGTCATTCATCTGATTTCCAACCTACATAATTCAATCAGGTAGTACAGCATTTTAACTAGAAGCTCAACATCATGTAGCAACTCTAATAATAAGTATTATTACTGTTATGACCTGATGTGAATCATTCATGCATTCTAACAAAACAAATCAGTTGTATGCTACAATTTCTCATTGAGCTGACTTAGATTTTCACCAATCTGGAAAAAAAAAGTGGGCAGAGCATGAATAGGTCAAGTACTTATGGACTGTAATACTGTATATAGAACACGTTCTATGTATTTTAGCACTTATGGCACATTATTTAGCAATTTGCACTGAAAAGTGGCCTATCACTGCTCATTCTCTTCTAATGGAGTTTTCTCTGCTGTGCTCTAGAACAGGGTTTCATAACCACTGGGCCATGGACCACAAGTGGGCTACAAAGCACCCCACAGTGGTCCTCAAGCCTATACCAGTGCCAGTGGTCTGTAGTGGCCCAGCAAATGCTACTTTATGTGATAATAATCAGTGGAAATTTCATCAAACTTAATAAGAAATAAAAACAATAAACAATAGTAATACAAGCCCTGCAAAAAATTGCACACAAAACAGCTAATCTATATTTGTCCCCTGCCTCTACAAACAGATTACACTCTTTCCACGTTTCACTTGTCTCGTTGAAGAAACATTCTGCTCAATTTGCCACCATTCCACCTGGTTTCTGGTATAAAACAAGCTCACAATCCTAAACTGTTGATATTTAATGCTAATGATAGACACTGTATAATGTGGGGGTAGGCACTCAGATATTCCTTTGTTGAAAATTTCCCAACAGCTGTAACATCAAAAATGCATTCAAACAGAATGCATTTCCTGCACATTTAAAATAAGACTTAATAACGAGAGCACAGGTCACTGCAGCAGTCTCCACATTCAGTAGCTAATTAGTGAACATATATTTTATACAGCTAATATTAAGATTAAAACTAGATGGAGACATATCTTACTTTAACCTTTAAGGTTATTAAGGAATAACCTTATTTTCATTTGCTATAAAAAATTACAGTGTGGAGCTGAATTAAAACTGAATAATATGTAATATTGTTTTTAAATAACAATTTATTAATCATTGTTATTTATAATAATCTAGCATGAACTATGAACTACACACATCCCCCCCTTTTATCGTTCTCGGCTGGGTCTCGCCTACTCATGGCCTCAGAGTCTGATTTAGACTCAACACTGCAATGATATACGGAGCCAGCTTTTTTAGTTAAATTTTCCTTTTCTTTTTTTATCACTACAAATGTTCTGTGTTTGGACTCTGATTGGTGATGGGCTCTCTAAGCTATTGTTCAGACCATAATTCTCAAGTTTTAGTGTCAGAAACAAAAGGAAAATTATATATGTAGGCAAAAAAGTAGACATGTGTTTTCATGTGGGCTCTGAGGTGAAAACGTTTGAGAGAGCCTGTTCTAAGACACATTCATTCACAGAGGTATGTGTCTTGATGATGACCGATCAGTGGACTCAGTGGATCAGTCTCTGTGCCATGTTTAAGAAACACTTCCCGCAGTTTGAGCAGCCTTTGTCATGCTTGACTTTTTCCTCCTCTCGTGGTGACAGATAGCTAATTAAATGTGGCGTCAGCTGTGTGTGTGTGCTGTGCTCATGCAGCGCATGTGTGTGTTTGTGTGTTTGTGTGTGTGTGTGTGTGTGTGTGTGTACTCTACCTGCTTGATGCTGAGGCTCACCTGGGCAGGTGGCAGTGTTGTTGCAGAGGCGCGTCTCTCTCAGCGGGCCGCTGCACAGCGTCCCGTACGGAGAGGACACACAGGAACGCGTACGCACCTGCCAGCCCTGCCCACACGTGAGTGAACACACACTCCACTGGGACCACTCCTCCGCTGCTGGGTCACCTGCCACAAAAACAGAGAGAGAGAGAGGGAGCGAGAGAGAGAGAGAGAGAGAGAGAGAGAGAGAGAGAGAGAGAGAGAGAGAGAGAGAGAGAGAGAGAGAGAGGCGAAAGAGTAAGTAAGTAAGCAAGTTTTATTCATTGTAAAATTACTGCTTCCATGGTAATTTACTGTACCATACTATGGCATCGGGTGTTTCTCCAAAGAAAGTTAAGACCTGACAGGTCAAGATAAGATTTTTACAAATTCATTATTATAGAAGCAAATCTTATCTTAATTTAGGAATCTTATTTTACAGCATTTAATCTCAAATTAGGAAATCTTAACCTACTCGATCGAAGTCGACAATCAACTGTCATGTCTGTTACCTAGCAACCACCCATACGTGCACAGCTGGAACGTAATCAACATAATTAAATTAGTTAGCCAGACAGCTAACGTTAGCTAGCTACTTCAGTATAAATAAAAGCGTGATAACAAAACTAGCTAGCGTTAGCTAACAGCGCTTCGTACTGTTTATCCGAGCTCCGCTGATGTTTTAGTTTCTCAAACGCTTTAGCCGACCGTACTAACATTATTCCTCCTAATAAACAGACGCACGTTCAGCTCTGTCTCCTCATTATTCACCACCATCACTGTAATATTGTATCTGACGAGTTTCCATCAGCATTAACAAAGAGGGGACGGTGAAGATCGTGTCTGCAGTGTCTGGGATTTTTAAAACGCTGTAGGGAAAAAAATAGCTCCGTTTTCAATGTAGATAAATGTAGCTAACGTCATTATGCTAACTAGTTAGCTAATTATAGTGAACTGTGCTGCCTGTCACTGCATAAAACGATAGAAACAGACGGTTAAAACAGAAGTTAAGACTCCACTGGGTTTGTCTTAAAATTAGGACAGAAAAAGATTGTTTTCTTATCTTGAGTTAGAATAAGATTAGGAACTGTTGTTCTTTAATAGCTTCTGTTCCAACTGAAATTGTCATGGTGATTAAGCAGATAAGATTTCAGAAAGAAGAAGTTTCTGTAATACAGTCCATAATTCAGCTTTGCTGGAAACTCAGCATACAGAGGGAAAATGGCACTCTGCCTCCTGACTAGCATTACACTATGAACCCTGCTACAGAAACACACTGCCGAACCTAGCCTCACCCTTCACAATAAAAGTCCCTGCAAAACAACAAGGCATAATGTATCTAGCAAACTAAATACCCTAAAATTAGCCTGTAAGCATTTCTTTAAACTACAAAGAACACAGGTGTGCTCTGACGCCATTATATTAATAGTAAATAATAGTAAAACAGCAGCTGTATACTGTGCCTGCACTGTATACTGTCACCCGGACCACAAGATTATTGTAATGTAATCTCTTGCATTTGTACATGACAGCTGTAAAAGTAATGCATCTCAATAGCCAGGATTTTACTGTTACTCCTGAAGGTGAGAAGATTGCTGAGCTGTGCAGGTTCCTATATGTTTCTTATTTAGCTGGCGAGTGGTAGTATTTGAGCGTGGTAAATAGGACTGTCACGATCATGAAATTTTAGCTGACAATTATTTGTCTCATAAAGAACTGCAATTAATGTCATTGTCTTTTTTATTCAATGTATGCAGCTATTAAAGTATAAACAAACAAATTAGCAGACAAACCATCTTATGTCCTAGCTGTTTACTCTAAATGTCTACAGTTAAACACACTTATTTTTTTTTTCTTGACAGTGAAAATATAAGCCAAAAACATCTCTCTGCAAGCATACATGCTAAAACATTAGAAATAGCTACACAGCTAACAATCATTACTCATGCTGCCCTCTAAACATGTTAGAGCACCACATTAGACCCTTTCTGTGTTCATGGGACCCATGGTGAGTCACGATTAATGCATACACTGCTTTCTGTTATTTTTATTTGCCTCAGTCCAGTGCACCCATTTCACATTTTGTTTCTTGTGGCACAATATGAGTGTGAAATCAAACAACTGCACAAAATGACTGTGGTCAGCCTAAGTAACTGCGATCATCTCAAATAATTGTGAGTAGGTGATTATGTAATAATTGAGACAGGCCTAGTGGTAAAGAAAACAGAGTTCAACACTGTGAAAAAGCAACAACATCACTATTATTAACCAGTCAGCCTGGATATCAACACTGGAACTTTTTCTTGGTTTCAGATAAAACAACGTAATGATTTAGCAATTAGTGATTTGTTATATCTGAAACCGCCTGGTTAAAACTCATGGCAGAGCACTACAAACATTCAAAATGTAATGTCAGACAGAACTGATAGATTATAGACTATTACACACACACACACACACACATTTTCAAAACGGCTTATCCTTCTGGGTCGCAGGGAGTTGCTGGAGTCTATCCCAGCAGTCATTGAGCGGAAGGCAGGATACACCCTGGACAGGCCGCCAGTCCATCACAGGGCAGACACACAGACATTCACACTCACATTCACATCCAGGGGCAATTTATGGTGTCCTGCATGTCGACTGTGAAAGGAAACCGGAGCACCCGGAGGAAACTCACGCAGACATGGGGAGAACATGCAGACTCCACACAGAAAGGACCCTGGTCGCACGGCCAGGGATATAGACTATTAATTAATGAAAAAAAAATCTCTGTCCACTGGAGGAGTCTAGGTTCAGGCTGTGCCCATTTACCCACTGCTTTAAAGTACAGACTTTCAATGAGACATAAGTGCTTTATATAACTTCCCATTTGTGCTGTGGTGTAAGAGACAGCATGAAAATAGCAGGCAGGTTAACAGGTGTCCAGCAGAAAAGACCCAGGAAAACAAGCCTCTCTGTGCATGCATTCACACATAAAGAAGATCAGTTTAACATGCTGGCAAGGTCGGTTATCAGCATTTGTGCCTGGTGGGTGTCTCATATGTTCAAACATTCATGTGCATATGCAACCCGAAACAGGATGTCAAGTGCCAGTGTCAGTCTTGCTTGTTTTTGTGGGTAAGGGTAAGAGTAAAAGGAGGAGAGTAAAGACGTTAAGTGGAGCAGGCAGCTCAGAAAAAGGCCCAGATGCTCTGGGCCAAAGATTCTTTCTTTTGTGTATGTACACGGCCCGTAGCAGTCGAATAGGATGTCCTGGGACGCCCCTTCCCCACCAGCCAACCTTTTCCTTGGCACTGTGTTTTTTTTTGTCATCTGCACGGCCGCGTCCTTGCGTAGAGGCAACATCACAGAGTGAACAGGCAAATCAAATTAATTGCACGTCTCATAATCGCATTACATCTTCATTTGCATGCGGGTGAGTCAAGGCTTAGTCTCTTCCGCGGGGGCTTGGGGGACAGAAGGGGCGGCTGGGGCTTTTTTGTTTTAGGGGTTTCCCACTTTTTTCCACCAAAGGTCAAGGGAGGAGCTCATGCTCACCTGTCTGAGCCTGGAACACTCCCGGCTGGTCAGCTGACCTGGGCCTCTGGGTCTTCACCTTCTGCTCATCATCGTCGGGATCTGAACAAAGGCAGAAAAAATAAAATATTACTTCCACGCTGACTAATGCTATTATACAGCACAGCATAATTAGTGACCATGTATAAAAAGCACAAATTTACCAAATTCTTCAGGGTACACAACATGTTAATCAAATATTCACAATTTTAAACATATTTTAATATCTCGATATACTGTTATGAAGAACAATGGAAAACATGGAAGGTTTAACTTCTTTTCACAGGCATAAAATCCAATTTCGTTCTGTTTTGGGATTCTCTCAGTTGAACTGTGAACTTTACTTATATATTTGTTACATTCATATAAGGACTGTTACGTGTTGTCATGGGCTGGAGGTTAGGGGACCAGCCTTGTGACCAGAAGTTCGGCGGTTTGATCCCCTTGGCCGACAGTATGTGACTGAAGTGCCCTTGAGCAAGGCACCTAACCCCCAGCTGCTCCCTGGGCGCTGTGGATAAGGCTGCCCACTGCTCCAGGCAAGTGTGCTCACTGCCCCCTAGAGTGTGTGTTCACTAGTGTGCATGTATGTGAACAGTTTCACTGCATGGATGGGTTAAATGCAGGGGCCTAATTCCTCTGTGTGCAAACACAGTTGGCTAATGGTTCTGAATTCTATTCTATGTGTAAGCACTTCTTTGTGCTTATGTGTGTGTCTCTCTCTCTTGGTCTCTCCCTTCACAGGTGTACCTGCTCTGCAGTCAGTCATGTGAGGAGGACCTCTAACCAAACAGAGGCCTGGCTGGTGCAGCTGGGGGAGAAGCCTATGCATATGTTTTACCACGTAGAAGTCTACTCTGTCTAGCTCCCTAGGTCAGAGGGCGGGCACCAACTTGTGTACTTTTGATTACTGGCTAGGTAAGTATAGCATTGTTAGCTTTTGTTTCCTTATTTAGGTTAGCTATGTACTTTTTCTTTCAGAGTAGGAAAGCGTGGTTTGTTTTTTTGTTCTTTTCTTTTGTGCCGTCCACAGTTTGACTCTTCCCGTGTGGTACTAGGTATCATTGCACACTATTTCACTGTGGATGGTTTTAATGAAATGGCTTCAAAAGCTCTATTGGCCTGCTCCTCCAGCTTTTAATCCATCGTCAGTTGAGTCATTTAATGCCACGTGTTACTGATCCCACAGTGCCCTAGACAAAACGTGAGGTTGGACCAATGACCATTCTACTAAATTAGTTCAAATGAACTATTAAAACAGAAATTAGGTTTTCAGACCTTAGATATTTACAAGGATTGTGTTATGATCTATTTAAACCTAAGGCATTAACTGAGATAGTAATAAGCCAAATATATATTAAAAGGTTAAATGTTAAATTAAAGGTTATATATTAAAAATTAAGGTTATATATTAAAAAAAAGAAAGAAAAAATTAATAATTATAAGATAATACACAATTTAATTTCTTTATTCTAAACCACACATGTCTCATGTCTATAACACCCAATAATGTTGGCAAGTACTAAGTATGTCCCACACAGTCAGTGCCACTGCCCACCACCCAAAATTATCCATCCAATAGTGGATCTGTGGTCAGAAATTGACCACTCACAAACAGCTAGAGGATGGATAACACAAATTCTGCATCAGCAGATGGACTGTGATCTCCAACTGCACACCAGCAAAATGGAGCTACAAGAGACTGGTTTCTAATAAAGTGGCCAGTCAGTGTATATGCATTCTGTACACGTATGCAAGCCTTCATATATCAAATATCCAATCAGGAGCAGCTTAATGATGGACTTAATTTCTGATGAATTGAAATTGGATTATAAATGCTTTAGTTCAACCTGTCTTTGTTCAGCTAAGCCAGCTGACCAGGAGCTCATGGAGAAGGGAGGAAAATAGCCGCCTGGAATGGCTTTTAATGGAGCTGAATTTAATTCCCTGATTAATCTTAATTGCTCATTGGAAGTCTTTAACAGGATAAGAGGTTCATATGAAATGCCACTGGTGCATTGCAAAGACAGAAAGGTAGAGACAGTGGTGGTGGTACTGCAGGAGCGACCACCCATGTGACTGTGCCTCTTTATAGCACACTAAAGTTCACGTTTAAGTGGAGAATAATTGTCTCTATAGCCCTGAGTCAGAAAAAAAACAGTAGGTTTATATGTGCAAACCATGGTTCATTTGGGGCAATTGGGATTTCCTTTCTTTTACCTTCTGTTCTGGACACAGACTTTGAGCATAAGCCTTTTTTAGGCACCTTCTCCTGAATTCTTTTCTCCTGAAATTTCTTTTGAAAGACCCACATCACAGATTTTTCTTTTAAATAAAAGTTTTAAAGAACTGCTGTTCACTTTCTACTTTATAAGGTCCATGTATGGAATTTAAGCTGCAAAAACAGAGTGTTTGGAATTCATTATATGTGTGACATCACAAAAATGAACATATATATACATATATAATGTTGTCGGAAGAAAACCTTGTTTCTCCAAAATGATACATTTACAGGAAAAGGTAAAAATCTACTTTACTTTTAATGTAAGTTAATGGAACCAGACATTTTTCCAAGTCTTTTCGGGCCGTTTCTTTTGGTTCATTCATCATGAAATTTACACACAATGTAAAGGGCAACAGGCATTTTCAAAATCTGACAATATGATAAACAATGACAAAATTGGAGATACAAGGTTTTCTTCCAACAGCAGCGATATATATATATATATATATATGTATGTATATTGCATAAAGAGTGGAGAGAAAAAATGGAAAATGGTAATTTAAAATGAATGACATTTTTTGGGTACATAAAACCATACAAACATCATAATTGGATCTATTAATAATCCTATAATCCTAAACACAGGATATGGGTGCTTTAAACAGATGGGCCTGCGTTATAAGGGCTGAAGAGAAGTGGCCTTCTGCATGGCATAATTTAGTCGGGTTGTGTTTTCGCTCTAAGCGCACATGGCACAGACCTGCAAGGCTACTAACAAATTAGACTAACATGATGGAACAGAGGATTTCCTGTCAAAGGGGTAGAATTTTAAAAGAAGAGGGAAACAAAAGACGACAAAAAGGAACCTCCGGGGCACTTTCTAAATTACCACTCAAGACATGCACTCGAAAGTTAATGGATGTTTAGAATAATTCACAATCATGAAACATCCCCAATAGGAACATAAAATCTTCTTTTATTCAACATGATTTATATTTCAGTGTGCTCACAACCCTTGAGCTAAATTCATCTTAGTCAAGAAGCAAATCCACCAGGAACCACAAACCAATTCTAACGTTAGTCTACTATTCAAACCTCTTTGTGTCTTTAGCATTCAGATTCTCTTTCAGTGTTGACAGCAGCAGGCCAGAAATCATTATTATGACTGAATTATGACAGAAGGTTTTACATTTAAATGTGTAATTGATTTGAAAGGATGAGGACGCTGAAACAAACAGTCCATCTCAACTTAAGACCTAATTATTCAAAAAGTTTGAGCTTCTCAGCTAAATTTGACCTTGATTGAGCGCTCTTTCATGACTGCAATAGGAAGGGGGTGGAGCAAGCTGCCAGAAAACATCCCACTGCATCCTAACACATGGGCTGCTAACTCCAGAGAGTTCCCCCCACGTTGCCTCTGTCAAACGGGCTTGATTAGCAGCGCTCCCCGTGGGGCCGGCGCTAATACGCTTATGATAGCTCAGACACGCACCCAGACGATCATGCTAATTTACACTGTCACGGGAGCGACAATAACAGTGTCGGGAAAGTCAAGGTTTGTTTCATCTCTCTTTCTGCCTCTTCCACGCCCCCCCGCCTCCCCCTGTTCGTTCTTCCCCATGTTCCTTTTGTTCGTATTGTTTATGGGCCTTCACTGCTGTCCTATCTCTCAATGGGGAAAATGACAGGCCGAAGCAACGAAACAAAAGATGGCAAATATTTCATCTTCCTATCAGTCGCAGGGTCAGGAGGGCAATACAGAAGGGCAGTGTGTAAAGCCTCCTTATCAGTCCCAGTGATAGATTTGCTGCATTCGCTCTGATTTTCCTAAACGCACTGCCCTCATTTTTATCATTATGTCCTCTCCAGTACACTTGTTACATTCTTTCTTCATATACACTGTTCTCACTTCCTTCTCCAAGCTCAGACAATCAATACAGTGTTGCCTGCACTGCACATTTTCATGATATTAAATCTCTTTCTTTCCATACATGTTCAGTTATGTGCTGATATACAACCAGGGGTCAATCCTTTAATTAAAATCTATTCTCTGATTATGTGAATAAGACAAAGTAAACTGGAAAAACTAAAGCTGCAGTCACACTGAATGAGTAAAATGTGCCTGGTGAAAAAGCTGATGCGCTCAAATGGTAAAGCGCAAAAAAGAAGTTTGCTTCCTGTAGCTGTGCTGTGTCAAGTTCATCGAGGTGTACTCTAATCCTGCGAATTTGCACATTTTGGAGGTGTTAACTAACACAAAATAAGAGGGAAAGCGAAAAATAATACATAAATAGAGAAATTGCCCTAAGTCAACCTGCTGTCACTTGCAATTCAAATTTATAAACCAGTTAACTGGATAATGTTAGCTGTTTTCCAAACTTTATGTTCCAAAGCCACCACTTTAGGACCACCCACACCCATTTGTGTACCTTAAATAAGTTTTTTCCAGGTGAAAAGTATGTATTTGTACCTTTTCATGATCTAATGTTTTAAAACAGAACAATAAAATAAAAAGCCTGGAGATGGGACGGGGTGTGTGGAGTCAGTACAACTTAGAAAATATAATTTCAATGGTTTATGGTTCAGTTATGTTCCCTGACTAAAGGTACTGAGATGTACCCTTGTGGGTACCACCACAGTGACAAGGGTGGTACTGACCCAGTGACTCATGTCTTTATTTCTGAGAGTGTACTAGCCTGATTTTTTTGCTCCACCCCGGCTTAATACTTCCATTCCAAAACACTGTATTTCAACAATGCTGTATATGCATTTATAGCACTTTTAGCTATAACAAGTTTCTGAAAAGAATGACAGCTGACTTATAATGAAAAACACATTT